ACGGAAGGCAGCTCTGTCCGGGGAGTCCTCTGGACACTGGGAGGTGGTGGGAGACAGGAGAATGGCACCAAGCTGTCCTCCCTGCTGGACAATATGTCCCACCCGCTCCAGACACCCTGTCCTCACTGTGCAGCACTTCAGCGAAGCTGCTGCAACGCCACCATGCACACGAGAGAGAACCGCAGGTCCTTCCTTCCTGCAGCGGTCAGACTTACACCAGCCCTGGCCGCCTTAACCCTCCTACACACACCACAACACAGACATAGACACCCCCTGCTGCTAAATACAACAACTTTGGCATATGTGCTATATGTGCAATAATATATGCCGTTAAGTAACTGTAATTAAACCTGGCTGCTAAACCCTTGTTCCTGTTCACAAGGTATGGATCCTGTAGATTTTGGTAACTGGCGCTGTTAAATACCGTCCAAACTATTGCAATATAGTACCCTTAATACATCATGCCACTTTAAAACGAATATACCGGGCTGCCTAAAATGTAAGAACGCTAAGGATTTGATAGGTTTTTTTATCTGTATTTTGAAAAATATGTAATTTTTTAAATTTATCTTTTTAGCATATGTTTAAAATATTGATAATTAGTATTACGCATTTAAAGATATGCCAACACTAAGCTGTCTGTGGCTCTTTCCTGCTGTAAGTGCTGCAAATTCCACTCTGTGGACTAACTATAGGTATTCCTGATCTTTTAACCGTGTCCTTGTTAACAGCTCTTCGTCAACGCCTGTGGCATTTGTTACGCCGTTCTTCTCGGCCACATGTTGTTCCTTTAAAGCATCACAATATGTCGCAAAGATGTGGAGGTAGCTGCACGAAGCTATCAATAACTGATCATGTCAGACAGCCAGGCACACCAAGCAGGAAAAAACAAGGTAAGATTAGTTATTAATCTGCCTGAAACTGAGCCGAGGGAAGTCGTACACAATGTACATAGTTTCAACCTACATTTTAAAGAAAACAAAAAGAAAGCAAAAAAAACAATGCTACTTCTAAAATGTTGAGAACAATGAAAGCACGGACATGAGGCCAAAACAAAGAATAGAAAAAATATGTCCATGAATAAAGAGTCACTGGCTGTTCTAGAGCTCTAAAAATCTGCTGGATTTTTAGGTAACAACAAATAACAAACCCCATAGTGACATCAGAAAGTCTTTCATCACAGCCTCAAACTCCATCTGTTCTATTCGTATAGGCTCTCCCGCGCCTCTACCCAGGCCTCGCTATTGGGTAATCCCCCTGCGCCCCGCGCAGCACTGAAACACTTGTAGTCCACGCAAACCCGCAAGGTGGGCCCACCCCTCGGCCTCCTTCCGGTATAGAATAGGAAGGTGGCGGCATCTCCTCCCCTTTTCTTCAGCAACCGTCAGCAGTACGAGCAGCAGGAAGGAATAGAGTCATGAGCAACAATTGAGTCCGTGAGTCCCTCATGTAAAACGGGGTACATCATGACTAGACCTACCACGCATATGCGATCCTTCGGGGCCAAGCACGCGTACGCGCTCTCACCAGCAGGCGCGTGTCGCATGTGCCCGTCTCCCATCGCACAGGCAGCGAAGAGCGGACGCTCTAGCTGCGCGGCTGAGGAGAACGACGGCGCCGTCCAGCGGAGCACAGGGACAACAGCCTCGTTCTGGAGCCGAGTGCTGGCAGGCAGGTCGGAACGACATCCTACCCCGTTTCCCCCATGCTCGCCCATGCGGCTCCCCCTCCCTCTCATCCGGACGGGGAGACGGGTCGACGAGGTACGGTGGTGCGGCCGACGGCACGCGGTCCCCTTCTCGTTGCCACGGCCAAACTGCCGGCGTTGGGGGGGCACATGCTGAGCTGCCGGAGATCATCGGCAAGGCGGAGCCTGCAAGGGTCGCCTCGTTCGCCCCTAGGACCGGAAAAGTAGCTCTTGGATGGACATGGCCCGGAGTTTTTCTCGGGTAGACGGGGCAGGAGTGACCCGATCTGGCCGCGCTCCAGCCTTGTAGGAGTACCAGGAGGGGCTGTCGGCCGAAACCCGAGACCCTGAGGGCTCCGGTGGCCCACCTGTTGTTCCCTTCACGAAGGGGAGGGATCACTGACGGAGGGTTTCACAACCACCCCGCTCTGGAGCAGAGCGTGACGGAGTCTTTGGGGTAAGCAGGCCAACTTGTCGCCGGACGGCACCCTGTGTGGCCTCCCCCAAGGACCAGTATGTCGCCCGCCAGGCCGACCTGGAGCGCACCAGTGTGCGGTTCCAGGCGTCTGCGGCGGCCGAATAACATCGCGGTTGCTGGCACACCCGGTGGTTACGCTCGGTCGGACAGCGCTCCACCACCGGCTCCAGAGGAGGCGGAGGAGATCGGGTCAAGGCGCCAGCACGCGCTCACCGCTGTCGCGCGTCGTGGGCGCTTCCACGGCCCGAGCATCGAACGTGGATGACCAGATCCACGCGCCCACCGGCATCTGCTGCACAGGCGGCTGTTACAGACGCCGCCAGGAAAGTCTCTGCGGACGCTCCGATCAGCTCGGAAGGGCGTGCGGAACCCAGTTTTGGCATGGTAACGTCCATGAAGCGGCAGCGGAGCACGCGAATGACTATCCGCCACGCACGGTTGGCTGGCTCCCAGCCGCGGCGAGCCGGCAGGGCACCAGCCGGCAGGCAGAGAGACCAAGCCGAGGCGCAGACGCGCCCGTCCGGCGGCGGCAGGGCACCGTCCCGCGCCTCCGCCCCCCCCACCAGAAAAGAAAGAGAAAAGTAACTCCCGTTCGCGTCTGCAGCACGAGAGCCGCCGAGGAAGCAGAAGCCCGCCTTGACGGTTGGGGGGGAGTGAGGAATAAAAGAAGCTAATTTCACCTTTGTCATCAGTTTCAAATGTGTTTTCACATATTCCCCACTCGTGTGAACCACGCCTGCCCTATGACCATATCGGGTCATTAGCCAGCAGGGTTCATTACACAAAGCCTGCCATTTAATTATCGGTAACGAATACAGAGCCAGTAACTACGCCAGCTGCCCCAACTGTTGATAGTGGCAGCGGGTTCGCTGCGGAGGCTGATGGTATAACTTATTCGGCTATTAAAACCAACGATCGCGCATTCCTCTGGCCGAGATCTGCTACCTACACACGGCCAATAAGCCATGAGGCCGTGGTAACGCCTCATGTGCGATATTAGCTGCACACATCTCCACTCATCCCGAGCTCGTACGCGCCTTTACCGATGAGAGTCGCAATGGAAACTGCAGCGTTGGAGCGCCCCCCCTCCACAGCCCTTTCGCTCTAGGCGGCACCTTGGGTTCGCCTCACGGGCACCGCCCGGCGCGGCGACGCGCTCGGGCGTGGCTCGTCGTCATGACACCACAACACATCTCGAGCATGGTGCCCGCGCCTCAGAGAAGTCTCGGATGGCAGCCGTGTGTCTGATGACAGATGGGATGAAGCAGGGCTGACAAGCAGAGGGTACACCCTGCAGTTCGCCTCCCACCCCGCGCCCGCCCCGCGAATGTGCCCTCTGGTTCTCCCTGTCAGCGCGAGACCTCTCCCCCCTACGGGTGGACGCGTCGAGGGGAAATAAGCTCTCAAGATGTTGTACGCACAATCAGATGGCGACCAGGCCTAGCGTCATCCAGACGACCTACACACACCAAAGTGGGCAGCAGTCAGCGGCGGGGTGTTGCGAGCAAAGGAAACACCCTGGACCTTCTCACGACGGCCCCCTGCCTCGGACCGAGTGCTGTCTTGCCTAGAACCAGCTGTCTGGTTGGCGCACACGGAAGAGGCGCCTGCAGTGCGCGTTCGCACACAGTTCAACAGTATACCTCGCGCGAGCTTCGTACCTGCCGATACACCTCCCAGCCTTGCCAACGTCTGGTTTCGAGCACGGGACGCATTCGTTCAGACCTTTCTGGTCACCCCCTTGATGAAACGCATTCTGCACCAGGGGTACGAAGACTCCGACCGGTGCACGCGCACCGGCGCCTCAGTGGGATCTGGCTTATATGGTGTTACGAGCAACTAAAGCAAGCCCATTTTGACCGAGAAGAGTCAGGTTCCCCTTAAAATGTTATCAGCCAAAGTAATAACTGCTTTGGCTTAACATCAGCACAAGGTGAGTGATTATCCGCTCTCCTGTGCCCCCGTCATGCCTCCGATCCAAGGAGATGGCACTTCGGCGTGCTCGCCTAACCCAGCCTTTATGCCAAGGTCATCACAAGCCTTTTAGGTCAAGAGCGATCACCCTGGATGGGTTTTTTCCGCCCTCAAATCGGAGGAAGAATCCACATCTCATCCCCTGCCCGGGCGCGCGCCTCTCCCTGCTAGTGGCCGCACGGCGGCCTCTCCGTTCTAGCGCCTGTTCGTGCACAATAGGAGAGCTCGACGGGCAACCTCCTGTCTGCACAACGCTTGTCACACGGCTGTGTGAGGCTGTGTCACCAGCATGTGTCTCTCTGGGGTGGAGCCCCGGAGAACATTCAGGCGCATCCACCAGATGAATTTCCTCCCCATGGCGCTTTGCNCTCTGGGGTGGAGCCCCCGGAGAACATCAAGGCGCACTCCACCAGAGGAATTTCCTCCTCCACGGCTTTGCACGGAGGAATGTCAGTGGAAGATATTTGCACGGCTGCATCTTGGTCTTCCCCCTGTTCATTTATTCATTTTTATTTGAGGGATGTCTCCCATTCCTCTCTGACACACCCTGTACTGGGTGTCCTGTCGGGGTGAGTGATGTCAGGGAGCCAGCTGTGCGCCTCTCTCCTGCCTTTTGGCACGCGGAGAGCGGCCCATTTCCCCTCTTATAGGAGGGATGTTCCTTTTTCCTCTAACACATTTTGTACGGAGTGCCTGGTCAGAGTGAGTGACGTCAGGGATCCAGCTGGGCGCTCTCCTGCCTGTTCCCCCTCTATGACCGCTGGGCAACGTGGGACTTTCGTCTCTACTTTCTCACAGCGGCCGGTATGTATTGTTCCCAGCCTTCACCCCGTCGGGAAGATAGGCATGTTTTGCTATGTTCCAGGGACGGTGATGAGCCATTACGCATGGCACATCAGGCAGGGGGGTGTTATTGAGCAGGTATGTCTGTGCTTCTAGTGCCGGGCGGACCCAGTGGGGCGCAGACTACATCATGCTTCACCCTTAACCCAATAGCGAAAGCCTTAGAGGGCGAAGCCATATACGAAATAGAACTGAGGTTACCTACTGTAACCCCAGCTTCTATGAGTAAATGGCGCAGCCCTCTAAGTGCGGGGCCCCACTGGCTCTACCAATAGCTGAAGAAAAGTTATGTTGTATGGGAGCAGATTGCCGGGCCACCTTCCTATTTATACCGGAAGGAGGCCCGCCACCTATCGGGTGGGCGTGGACTACAAGTGTTTCAGTGCTGCGCGGGGGCGCAGGGGGATTACCCAATAGCGATAGCCTTAGAGGGCTGCGCCATTTACTCATAGAAGCTGGGGTTACAGTAGGTAACCTCAGTTCAGAGTGCACTTTCACCCATAAAATATAAAATAACGGGACAAAAAGTGTTTGTGCTTATCTTTAAATGTAAAACATTAATCAGTTGAACACATTTTGAAGAAGTTTATGTACATTTTGAGTCGTAGGAATTACTGTTGTCGCAGTCCCTAAATAAAAAAGTAATCATACAAGTGAAGGATTAAGAACAATGTTATTCCCGGTTTCGCTGGAATTTATCAACACCTGCCAACATCTATCCTTTTCAATACGTTACAACAAATATTGTTTCAAATAATGAATTAACAAACTCAGCATAAAGTGGATCATTTACGGTCTTGTAAATTTAAAACGAATAACTCGGCTGAGCTCCAACGTTAACGTTTATAAATATGTCAAATAAGTTATTGGATCCTGTATTTAAGTAAAAATTAAAAAAAGAAGTCGAAAACTATGCTGCAAGTATAAATTCTGTATTGAAAATGTTACTCAAGTGAAAATACAAAAGTATAAGCATCAAACTATACTGAAAGAACCAATAGTAAAATCACATATTATGCAGAACGCCTATTTCCAAAATAGTATTATATACATCAAAATGTACTCAAAAATAGTACATTCAGTACACCAGAGTTGCAATAATTCTGGAAAAAATTAAATGTACTATTATTCAATTTTTGCACTTATTTTATTTATTTTTAAATTTTTGAAAGAATAGTTGCCAGGCGCGAGTAGAATATACCAGCATTTCATAAAAGAAATTCTTCTTTTGGGCATGTGACAACCCTGTGGTTGTCCATTGTATGGTGCTGTGTTTTAGTTTTTTCTTGCAGAGAACCTGGAGACGATGTCGGGTCCTGTAATCAGGAGAGATGAGGCCCCCCTGTGGCTCCAGCCTGGTAAAGAGCGCTGCAGATCAGTCCCCTGCTCTCTCGCTGCCCCGTGCACCACACCAGCCCTCCTCAGTTTCCATTTAGTTATTTGTGACCTTAACTTTTGTTGCAAGAAGGAGCCAGCTTGTAACTAATGGGGGGCTCGTCCGATCCACATTATAAATATTCCTGTCGTTTTTAATCAGAATCATAATCTTGCTCTTCCACTGTATTTATGTCCAAAAATCTAGCCATGTGTTGAAGTCGGATGGAGCCTCGATGGATCCACTCCCTTACTTGAGTATCCTGACAGTGCCAAAGAAAAATACATTATTCCACAGAAATATGTTGATTAATAACAATAGTTAAAAAACTGCAGCTTTTTGAATGGTGCTGACCTGAAATAGGACCTGCATCACGCTGCAGTCGACCGCCTGCACCTCACTCCTCTGATAGACTCCATTTAACTGCACATTGAGCATCTGTCCAGCCTTGAACTGCGTTAAATGTGGGTACGGCCAGTCCTTCAGGTACCGTGTCATGAAGGCCTTGTGAGTGTCGTCGGGAATGTCCTCTAAAATATCATCCACTGTAAAGAAACCGATGAATCACTCTTATTAAGGAAGCGTATGGTTTAGTTAGTGCTAGTTATAACTGCATCTCAATAGGTGCCAATATTCTTTATTCTGTGGCCATGTCACTTTTAATGAATATGCTCACCGTGATGTTTTTGCACAATACTTTTGTTGCATTCTAAATTAATTATCGGGACGAGCATGTGAACTTGTGTAGTCAAGTGTTGTGAAGGAACCATGTGTACTTGATATGGACATCAGTATTGGGCAAATTATGTTATGCTTTGTATACAAAATAAAGCAAACAATATGTATATTTTTATATTTATAACTGTTCCCAAAAACAGAATACCCCTAGTTAGTTGGTATTTCATCCAAAAAAGATTGTCAGTATGCATAATAAACAAGGTACTCTTTTGATAGTGCTTAATAGATGCTATTCTCCCACGACACATTGCCCCAAATAAAAGAAAAATCGAATAAAAGAGTGTGAAAACAGCAAGACTTACATGGTCTGCACACCAGGTGAAATGAAGGTAAACCAAGATAGAGCGGCGTGTGATCATCTATGAAAACCAAGAACCTGGAAAAGAAAAAATAGGTTTAACATCAAACATATACTAAAGCATTTAGATTTTCTGTGAGGAGTAGGCGTGTCATGTCACCACTTTTGTTGGACAATAGATTGTTCAAGAATTAAACAATATTATATTTCATTTAAACAACTATTACTTTGGCAGAGCAATACATTTATAATTCTTATGAATATCCAGATATCAGAATTGGAAGTTGAAAAAAAAATGATAAAATATAATATGAGGTTATGTCCATGAATTGATAACGTAATTATTGGAACACGCTTAGTGATGGGACATGGGTATAAAACCACACACCTCAGGCGGTTCTTTCTGCTGGGGAGCTCTGACAAAACTCCAGGCCGGAACTTGTGATCTGGAAACCGGACCACCACACGGGCCCCGACATACAGCTGCTCCAGATCCGGTATGGTGTCAAAGGCAATGTGGTGGCCGGACACCAGGCTTCTCCCCTTCTGTTCAAAACAAACTTTGTACTTCAACCGCCCATCTTCTGTAAACAAAGACAGTCCAAGAATGAAATCACTACAGTCATTTTTTTCCCCGTCTACAGTGTTCTTCAAATAAAATACAAGAGTTTCTGCTCTACCACTGCCTAGATCGGTTAGTATTAAATGTGTAACTTTGGTGTTCTGAAGGGGTCCCTTCGCATTTACTAAAGTCACACAATAACACAAAAAACAAACTGCTTGTTAAATGTATGGTTTTGTCAATGGAGCCTAGTGGCTGTCAAGAGAGCATGGATAACAACTATAGCTTCCTGTTGGAAAGGGCTGTATACATCCAGGTGAAGCAGTCAAAAATATTCTAAATATAGCTACATTTAAACTGATATTGATCTTTCAGGTGGCTAAAATGTATTTTGCTGCTGCCTCCACTCACAAAAGTATATTGCTTTGCTCCTGTGGCGGTACTCCTGTCTGCGTGCCAACCGTAATTTACTATAAGTATTACACTCACTATGGATAAGCACTTCATAAAAGCCATCTTCCAACAATCCACATATCTTTATTATTAAAGACCTGGGTGTTATGTGTGAGCACATTTCCCTCCTTGAAAATCGAATTTCTTACCCTTTGTTACGATATCCACTATTTTTCCCCGTTGCCATTTCATCGTCTTCCTCTTGGCCAGGATCATCATGCCCACAGCGACCTCTTTTTCTGGCAAGTTAGGACGGACCTTGGTGGTTTCAGTGGAGCAATGCGCAAAAGCCGATGATACTATTATAGGGGCTTGTTCTGAAACAGTGACAAACAAAAATGTGTAAATTAAAACAAACGAGCTAGAAGGATTTTAAGATATGAATGGCTGGTCACAGGATTTTAAGAGAAATGTCCTGGAAAAGGCCCATTTAAAATGTGTTTTTATGTAGCTGGCAATAATTACCATTGTCGTTGCCGTTTCTGCTGGAGTTCTTTTTTTGAGTTTTCCGTTTGTTGTTTGAGAGTGAGAAATCAGAATCACTAGAATCATCATCTTGTTCCCACAGCATATCAGAGTCAGAGCTACTGCAGGAGTCGTCTTCACTGTAGAATTGCTGTGGCGTCGGTGGTCGCAGAGCGCTGATCTTATAGTCAGGGAGTCGGGTCAAGACCACCACAGCGTTTTTTATTAAACTGAGAGGGTCACAACTGTCCTTCAATTGTGTCTCCTTGTTGGGACTTTCACTTGTGGAGGGAACAGACTCACATGGAGAGTCAGACATGTTTTCTGAAAAGAAAAAAAGCATGGGTGAAATTGTGCCTTGCAAAAAAAAGATTTACAGCAAAGATGATTTTGTTCCAGAGCTTCAGAAATTAGTGAATGAAAACCTTTGTTATAAATAATCGTTGTGACATTTTCAAGCAAACATGCCAAAGATTTGCTAGCTCCCATTTCCTAAATATGTAGAGTGTCTGTACTATTTATCATTTAAAGACTAAACTTTCTCACAAATAAGACACATATTTGCAAATAGTCATTTAAAAAAAATGTCGTCAAGTTCCTAGATCGGTACCATACAGACAATGATGTGTACAAATTATCTGCCAGTGAATATTACACATCGTACATGATCATAAGTACATTTATTTAGGTACCGTACTTAAAATGTTACGGTACTTGAACTTTGTTTGAGTATTTCCATCTCGCTACTCTATACTTTACGCTACTACATTCAAAGTTAAATATTGTACTTTTTCTCTACTACATTTATTCGAGCGGCCTTAGTTACTTTGCATTAATTAAATGAAATATAATATGCATAAATAAGACTTGTGTGAATTGATTCCCAATCTACAGTTTATCTATAAAGTAATTTGATTGTCTCCAACTTTACCAGCTGCATGAAAACACAATAATACATCAATAAAAGTCGGATAATAAATATAATAAATAATAACTATTTTGGAAATAGCCATTCTGCATAATAAGTGATTTTACTATTGGTTCTTTCAGTATACTTTGATGCTTATACTTTTGTATTTTGACTTTTATACTTGCAGCAGAGTTTTCGACTTATTTTTATTTTTTTACCTAAGTACAGGATCCAATAACTTATTCATCTTTTGGTTACCTGCGTACAGGACACAGCAAGGAAACTGACACATGACAGTTCAGTGAACATAACCAAATGAGAGGACAACACGTGACGTTAGACTTACAGAAATACACATGGCTTATTTGTTATTTAAAGATGACATATTTATAAACGTTAACGTTAGAGCTCAGCCGAGTTATAATACATGCAATGCTAGCAAAAAACCGTAGCTTACCTGTTGTTTTGTTCTCGAGCTAGCTCTCAGCCTAGCACCGATAGCATACACTCCTTGTTAACTTCCTGAAAACACAACAGGTTTAAGACACACAACCGTCGTCTTGTTTATTTCACGAGTGTATACAAATATAGGCAAAACGATTTTGGCTAGGAAATTGTCACAACATGCTCGTAATCAAGCCAGCTTCCTCCATTTTAGAATGTTATCTTACCGATTATTTTTGCTGCTGCTTCTTCTTCGTGGTGTTATATAGCAGCGGGCCAAGCCCCCAGGAAGTGCGTGGGACTCAGATGAAAATATGCGTGGTGGCCAAACGGCGGTACTACACTTCCGTTTGGTTGCCAGGCCCGGAAACACTTTTTCCCCATTGACTTACATGGGGAAAGAGTGGTCGGTAAATCGTTGGATAATTTTTTAAAAACTAAATAAACTACCCAGTATGAACACTTGTATAGCCCTTATTAAAAACATTCGTTCCTCAAGTTGTAAAAATGTGCTAATAATGTTATTCTGAGAATTATTTCCCTCTGCATTATGAACGCGCATCTAAACCACGGGACCGCGCCGCCCGGCACGTTCATGTGATGTGACGTGTTCAGTACATGAGTTTTCCCCTTTACCCATGGATGCACAATAAGAACGGACCCATATCGCCTTACTGGCATCCCACGGAGCTGTAATAATGGATATATTGCACATGTTTGCTGTAATTAATCATTTGTAAAATATTATACTAGATGGGCTGTATGATGTAAATCTTGTATTAAATAAAGTTAATATTACCGACGTAGATTAACGTGCCTGTAGCTTCTTATTGCACTTGCAATATACCATTAAAGGAGTTGAACGTTGCTGTTTGCTATTATTACTATAATACCACGCAGGGATAAACCAGAGTTTACAACCTTTGCATGTGGGCACAACACGTTTCGACCAAGATTAATTAGCTATACCATATGATATCGCCCGAGGAAGTCGTCATACTTATACATATATAAATAAAGATATATGTGTCAAAGCTCTAATCAAATTAAGAGTTATATTAATTATACTTGTATATGTATATATATATATATATGTATGTATATAGCCTGTGTTGTATATTTATACACACAAATGAACAACCTTGTGTGTGTCAAATAAGAAGTTGTATTGTAGTGTTTATTTTAGTGTTGTTTTATGCTTATCCACATTTTGATTTCAGAGCACAGGAGAATGCTGGGCACAACATAAAGCGCAACAGTGAAGCTGGCAATGCTGAACAAAACCATCACTAGATCGTGTTAAATCAGCGTAATATAAAGTACATAACGATTGATGTGTACGTACATTAGCATAATTACTAATGGCTCGGACGTTACACTAGCTAGCCACTAGCTGCTAGCTGCTAACTGCCGCCTCGTTATTAGTTAATATCAAATCCATCATAACAATCCAGAACGCGCGGTGCTGTTACGTGTACGCAAATTGAAGTGCTTGATGTGAATGAGCCTGTTGGGGGGCGTGGTTAAAGTTGCGCATGCTCTATGAGGCACATACGGGTACTTCTCAGGCATGCCGGGTAATCTGTGACGTTTCACTCTCAAAAGTTGGGCCATTTTGTCATCCATGCGCCGATGAACAACTCTCATAGGAATGAATGAGGCCCCGCCTCCCACGCTGTATCCAGTTTTTATTATACATCCATGGTGGAGCCTCGCAGTTTTTCAGGTTGATATGTGAAGCTTATTAGCTAGCCAACATGTATCGAGCGAATGTTTAGCAAAATATTAGAAGTGAGGCTACTAGTTAGGTCTACTGTAAAAGCCTCACTTTTAATAGTTCGCAAAACATTAGCTAGCACTAGTGTTTTGCAGTTGCTAGCAGCTTATTGGGATTTTATGCTAGATAGACAGGCAATAGACAAGCATTATTGTTAGTTAAGCATGTCAGCCTGCAGCCCCATTTTTAACTCTCTGTCTCTCTCTAACTCATTGCAGATGGCTGCACTACAGAAAAGGGCACAGAGGAAACCAGTTGTAAGATGTTTAAAAGTTCATTAAACATAATGTATGCTTAAATGCATTTCAAAGAAGTTGTGTTGGAGTTTGTGTTATTCTACATTTTGACACCAAGATTTTCTGATTTTACTGCAAATGTATATCGGCTCCAAATATCTGTTATCGGTCTCCTTGATTACTAATAATCGGTATCGGCCTTGAAAAAGCCATATCGGTCGATCCCTAGTGTGTGTGTGTGTGTGTGTGTGTGTTTATCATGATAAATAACATTGATGGGTTCTGATTATCCTAGCAGTGCAGCCAACAGCTTAAGGTTTTGATAGTCTGTCCTTCAGCTATGGAGTGGTGCAAGAATGATTCTTCAACCATGTAATGAGTTAGCAATTTAGTCATGTGTATGTGTTTATGGTTAAATTAGCTAAATAAGGTATGTGGTAAATACAAACACCCATTTTTTTTTTTAAATATATATTTTATTCTTTTACATAAAATATGCCACTGTGAATGTAAATATGTTATGTATCTTAAAATCAGAGGTTGCTTACAAGTGACTAAACCTAACCATGTACAGCTTAAGCCGCCTTTAGCTTAGTGGTGGTGACGTGAAGTCATGTCACCATGACAGGGCTCGACGTTAAGGACTGCCCGATGGCCCGGGGCCATCTAGTATTTAGCTCGGGCCATGAAGCCTCACCTGCTGGTTACCCGATA